GCAGACATTTGGATTTGAATAGCTGCTATTTGACGGGTGAGTGCATCAAATTGTGAGGAGTCCATAGTTAATGTACTGAAACTAAAAGTGACAAGACGACCACTATGCAACTGTATGCACTGTATTAGCAGCTAAATGACGTGCAATGAAGAGATCAATGACAATAAGTGCAAGCAACGAAAAATAATAACTTGAGCATTTTTTTTTTTTTGAAACTTTGGGATTAAACGAAGTCAAATACGGCAAGCTAATACTGCTGAGACATATAAGATAACAAGCAAGTGTCCAATGCTTAATCAAAATATCTGGTCGGTGGGATAAGTGTGGTAAAGTTGGAATTGGGAATTAATCGGAAAATGATTCCAATGAAGCCAAGTGGGTTAAAGATGAAATTTCTAAAATCAAAGCAACACAAAAAATGTAAATGATGCCCTTTGAAAATGAACAACGGTATAAACCAATGATAAATAGGAAACAGCAACTCTCTGTTGTCCAGTTGTCTGATGGCTGCTGACTGTGGCGAGGGAGGCTGCTGCAACGGAGGAAGTGGCGCAGGGCTGTGATGACGAGTTTTGTTCAGAGAATAGATGAAGTCGGCTGCGGTGGAGAAAGGGAAGGCGGTGACTGAACACGGTGGCGGCGTCGATGGAGGACAGATTTCAGCAATGGGTGGTGGGGTTTGCTGGTTTTTTTTTTTTTTTTGGTTGCCGGTTAATAGTGGAAGCGGTAGTGGCAGCGATTCGATGGATGCGGCGATTGTAGGAGGCAGTCGCAGGTGCCGATTTGGTATAGAATTTGAGAGGAGAAGGGATGATGAGTGTAGGCCGGATTGTGGTGTTGGGCTTCTTGATTGAAAGTAATGGTTGTTGGGATAAATTGGGCTGAACGGTGGTGATGGGCTTGGGTTAATAGGTTAAATTTTGTGTGAGGGCTGTAGTGGGATTATGGGCTGGGTATGTGGTTATGTTCAGTGGGCTAGATATCTTTAGTTTCAAGATAGCTAGGTCATGATTCATGGGTGTAAAGCAGCAGCAACGTGTAACCACTTTCTGCAAATTGAAATTTTTTTTTTCTTTCAGAACTGATGAAAAATCGGAAGAAGACTTTCCGGGTGTGAACAGTAACCCGAGAACAGTACGACGGGGAGTAGAATTTTTTTTTTTTTTCAACTAACTAATCAAAACTACTAAAACAGAAGACAGTTGCTGCTGTGGAACAATTGTTTTGTGTT